TGAGAGGTCAAGTGATTTCAGAATGTGGGCTCTGGATTGCAGGGAGAGGTAAAGAAGTTTGGCCATTTGCTTGACCTTGCAATGAATGAATGTCAAATAGGCAAATACGAAATTGAAGAAAACAGAATAGGACTATAAATTCAAAACATCACATTAGTTCTTTTGATATGTGGCTTGCCCTTTAATCTTCAGTGTAGCCCCTGTTTCTCCATGTTTCCAGTTTCTAATTGCTATGAAACAAACCACCCCCAAACTTTGCAGATTACAGTAACTCCCATTCTGTTTGTTCATGAGTCTGTGGGTGAGAAATTCATTTAGGGTTTAGATTAGCATTTTTTTGTTCTCTGTGTCATCAGCTGAAGTCATTCATTCACCTGCATTCAGGTGACTGCTTTGCTGGGCTGGAAAGTCCAAGAAGGGAGCAGTCCCTGTGCTTGTTTGCTATCTTGATTCTCCTCCCCATGACCTCTCTTTCTGTGTGCTGCCATCTGGAGCTTCTTCAGGGTAGTTAGACTTCTTGCCTCCATGGTGGCTGACTCCCTGTAGGGAGCACACCAAATGGGGAAGGCGGAATCTTCAGGTGTTTAAAGCCTTATTTCATTTATTTTAAGTTACCTCATCACAGTTTACTTGTCAGATGAAATCACAGGGCAAGAAAAATTGCTTATACCTCTCTGCTGAGTGGCAAAGAATTTGTGGTTATCTTCAGTTTACCACATCATTCCGCCTCATGAAAAACTGAGTCTAGACTTCAGGAATTAGCCAGTTTGAAAGAGAGGCCTGTTAAGTATTGAACAGCAGAATGAGCCAACACAAATTACCACAGACCACTCATTTATTATCTATAAGAAGAGATTTATATGATGTTAAATAGTTTCTAAAATATATGTAAGTTCTAGAAATCAACCAAGTGTATAAACTCTTACATAAAGAATGTGATGAATTTTATTAAAATAACTAGGCAAGAGAAAAGAATAAGAATAATCCTAGTGCAGTTTGATGCACACAATGAATTCTGTATTAAAACAATGCAAACTATGTATGTGAAGAATATATATTAGTCAATATAAGATATTCATTCATAGAAATTATTCAATTATAGAAATCTCAATTTTCCAGTTATAGTCAGTTTATTGGGCACTATATTTTTCCTGTATTGTCTGAGAAAGTCAACAGAGTTGGGTCTCCTTAGTTCTGAGACAGTATATTCCTGAGAAATTCAGGTGAAGTATTATGTGGTCATTAGAAGATAGCTAGTTCTCGGCATCCTATATACTCATGGAGGAGGAGATAGAGGAAAGTGGGGGAATGCTAATTTTGAATTTTCAACAGTTCTATGAAGTGATATTTTTATGGGGATAATAAGAGATGTTGAGAATGTTCCTTTTATAACACACTGATATTACTTACTGCAGTTTCTTTTAACCATAAGAATATATCATTCAGTACTTAAAATAATTAAAAACAGTTTTAGGCATTTTGGTAAGCTGGAGGGGGTAAAAGACAGGAGAGAGGAAGCTATCCTTCCTCTTTCATTTCGCTAAGCTGAGTGTCTCCACAGCCTTCCAGATTTGGTTCCTGTAAAAGCAGCACCATGTGTACCTGGTTAAGAAGTGGAGCAGGCGGGGAGTGGGAGGGCTTTATGAGAGGTGGCCTGAATCCTGGTGGGACCTATAGGTCTCTCTTACAAATATTGTCTCGGAATCTGCTTTCTGCTCCTGGATGCACATTCCAGTGCCAGGTGTACCGTGCATGCCCTTTTTGTGACCCAGGCATCAAGTGACATTTTTCACATTTATTTCAAGGCACTTGTACAGACTGGCTGCTAGGTGCATACCAGGCAGTATTTAGAATATGGAGGTTGGTGGCAACTAGAAACACCAGGGCTCACTCCCTTGTCCTTAGGGCCTGTGCTCCTACCTCGCAGTGGGGTCTAAGCCACCCTCAGGGTGTTCCCAGCCAGAATTGTCCTGATAAATTTAATGAGCTAGAGACCAGTCACAAGGAGTACCTGTCTTTGCCCTCAGCATTTTCACATACCTGTTAAAGAGCATTCAAGGGTCACTTGACTCTGAGCAGGGGGAATGGAGAAGGAAGTGCCCATAGGACTTGATATTGGTGGGAGAGCCTTGCAGGTCCCTGGAACCCACTTGACACGGAACATTTGTATTCTTTATTCTATTCATATATTATTACTCACCTCTTCCCACTGCTGCTTCTTTGAGCCAGTGATAAGCCCTCTGCTTTCACTCCCTCTCTCCCCACAGTCACTGCTCAGTTCTGGGCACTTGTGACCAGGCCATTCCTGTCTCCCTGGATCTTAGTGCCCCCTCAGAGGGAATATTGTGTGTGTGTCTCATCTGGTTTCCTTTCCAACTTTTTGTGCTATGGGGATGTAGAACCAGGCCTAGGGCAGCATCTGCCTATCATCTCACAGGCCTACCTGGACTCACTGGACTCACAGGAATCCAAGACATACAATTGTTCAGAGGAAGGACATGCAAATTTCAGTCAGAGAGGCTGGGATGGTTGTATGGCTCTGTCAACCAATGGATCTTCTGATTTTTAGGCAAGTATGTATCTCTGGGATCCCAGACTCCAAAATGTCCATCCTTGCCCATGGATGGATACGAGACAGCCCACGTCTACCACAGCAATTGTGCCTTCAGGAGTAGAACTCTGGGCATTGCTTCCTGTATCAAGAAAGGTTGGAGCTTGACACTATTTCTGCCCAGCCAATCCCACCTTCTTTGAACTCTGAATGGGTACCATGGTCAGAAACTTACTTCTGACATTTCCCTTCTTCCTCTTTCATTCCATCGATTGACTATTTTGGAGCATGTAGCAAATACTGTCAGATACCAAAGATAAAAGTATAAGCAAAAATGAATCCTTGCCTGCTTCCAAAGAGCTTTTAATCTAGTGTGGATAGTCCAGGTGGTTCCATTCCTCCTATCTTCTATTTTCACCAGTGTGGTCCTTTCTTCTGTACTTGGGTGATGACTGTTTCTCTCCTCTCTTCCACTTCCATGGGTGATCAATCAATTCTATTGGAAAGGACCAAATAGGATTGCTTCCAAAATATATTTTGCTGTTTTTATTTCATTGGTCATCACCTCACAGACTGATGAACAGATAGGACATGATGAACAATTTGAAAATTATTTTTGGACACTTGTGCAGCTACCAGTTCCAATTTTTATCTCAACACCTGCACCCAGAGAGTCTTTATTTGACTAAACATTTATGGAGCCCCTACTCTGGCCTGGGCACTTTTATGGGCCTGAGGGATAGAGCAGCTGGCAAAGCAAAGGCCCTCGCCTCATGGGCTTACATTCTAAAATTGGAGACAGATCGTGAACAAACTACTGTATGATATGGTGTCCATTAGATGATAAATGCTATGTTCATCAGCGAAGTAGGGAAAGTGGTTATGGATTGCTGGCATAGAATACAAGTCAGGAAAGTCCTCTCTGAAACCAGCAGGAGAAAGAGTCAAGTAGCTTACTGGGGAGAGAACCTTGCAAAGCAGAAGGAATCAAAGATACAAAGGCCCTGAGACCAGAAGTACTTGAGGTGTGTGAGAATCGGCAAGTAGGATAGTGTGATTACAGCAGAACAGGACATGTAAAGAGGCATAGGATAAGGAGCAGGGTCTTATAGGCTGTGGCCAATACATTTTATTCTGAGTGGGAAAGAAACTGGTGGAGAGTTTTGAGCAATGGAATAAAGGGATCTAACTTATTCTAAAAGATTTCTGTGCCTATCCTGTGAAGAACATGATAAGAAGTGAAGAGTTAAAAGCTAAGGAATTAGTTGAAGTAGTCTGGGTGAGAAAAGAAGGTTGGAATCAGGGTAGTAGTGGTAGAAGTGACAAAATGTGATTCAATTTGAAGATATATTTAGAAAGCAAAGCCAAGAATATTTGTTGGCTCTAAGGTCCCAGACTCAAATCTGTTGTTCATAACTACTTGAATAATCACATTCAAACTAGTAAAACAATTATTTTAGAACACAAACTTCTCAACAGTTTATTGGTTGTTAAGCAAAGAATATTACCCAGAAACAGTGGCACTATCAGAACTTTAAACACAGAGCCAAAGACAGGGCACCTACAAATGTCTATTGGATGCTGATTTTTGCAGAACTTTTCTTCTTGCCACTATTTAAAAAAAAGTATAGGATATCATTTCTCAACTAAAGGCCCCTTTTAATGTTGCTTTGTCATGAAAAACAGGACCCCAGGAGGGTCTTCATGATTCTCAAAGGATGTGGACTCCCACAGTGAGGACAGAAGTGTCAAAATTTCTCTCGCTGAGATTTAATAGCCTGGCCAATTGATGGGGCTCAGGACACAGTTCAGACTAGCAGGACAAGGGTACTGGGACTGGCCAGAGTTGATGGCAACGCACTTTAGGGCTAAGGCCCAGGCCAGCCCCAGCCCCAGCCCCAGCCCCAGTCCCTGTGCAGGCAGCAGGTAACTGGAGCGCTATTCCTGGAACAAAGACAAGCACTATGGGGGGGGGGGGTAAAGGAGAGAACAGGAGGACAGGCAAGGGGATAGGACCTGGTGGGATATCTGGTGGGAGACAGATCCACAAAGGAACATTGTATTGTATGAGTCTGCTGGAGAAAAGGGTTTCAACTTGAGCAGGTTGGCCCTCTCTGACAGATGGACCACAGCGCTGGCTCAGTCCTCTGTTAATACACTCTCCGCATCGGAGCCCTGTGATCAGCGGCACCTAGTCTTGAACTCTCAGCCTCTGGAAGAATCATTCCCCTGCTGCTCCGCGCCCCAGCGCTCCCTTTCCTGGGCACGCCCTCCAAGTCCAACATCTTGGTCACCCGGCCCTCCCCGCCCTGGCCACGCCCCCACGCTAGCAGTACCTTCCCTGGCCACGCCTTTCCTATGGCGCTGCGCCGGCGCGCCGGCTGCCCTAGTGGACTTGTGGGCGGAGCTGGCGCAGCCGCCGGGACCCTGCTGCGCCGCCCTCACGCCCCTAGCCGCCGCGCGCCTCTGAGGACACGCACTTCCTGCGAGGCCTCGGTGTGCTCCTTATCCGAGCGGAGCTGAACCACCTAGCCGAGCCCAGCCCTTGCAAGCAGTTCGCAATGGTGGACGAGCTGGTGTTGCTGTTGCACGCGCTCCTGGTGCGGCACCGTGCCCTGAGCATCGAGAACAGCCAGCTCATGGAACAGCTGCGGCTGCTGGTGTGCGAGAGGGCCAGTCTCCTGCGCCAGGTACGTCCGCCGAGCTGCCCGGTGCCCTTCCCCGAAACGTTTAACGGCGAGAGCTCTCGGCTGCCCGAGTTTATCGTGCAGACGGCGTCTTACATGCTCGTGAATGAGAACCGATTCTGCAACGACGCCATGAAGGTGGCATTCCTAATCAGCCTCCTCAGCGGGGAAGCCGAGGAGTGGGTGGTGCCTTACATCGAGATGGATAGCCCCATCCTAGGCGATTACCGGGCCTTTCTTGATGAGATGAAACAGTGTTTTGGCTGGGATGATGATGAAGACGACGACGACGATGATGAAGAGGATGATTACTAGGCCTGTAGCCTCTTGGGCCTAGAGGGGGAGAGCCCTGCACGCCACTTCCCCACCCCCTGCCACTCCTTGAGCCAGCTGTGATCCTCCCTGCGCTCTGGTCCTATCCCCTTGCCTGTCCTCCTGTTCTCTCCTTTACCCCCCCCCCCCATAGTGCTTGTCTTTGTTCCAGGAATAGCGCTCCAGTTACCTGCTGCCTGCACTGGGGCTGGGGCTGGGGCTGGCCTGGGCCTTAGCCCTAAAGTGCGTTGCCATCAACTCTGGCCAGTCCCAGTACCCTTGTCCTGCTAGTCTGAACTGTGTCCTGAGCCCCATCAATTGGCCAGGCACCTATTTACACTGACCAGACCACCCACCGTCCTGCTGCCGCCACCCACCCAACTGCCAGGCCTACTTCTGCCCAGTGACCTGTGTTGCAACGTTACCACCACCTACCACATCCCAGCGACAGACTTCTGCCTTTGGAGATAAGGACCAATATAGACTATACCTGAGTTTGCTACACTTCATCAAACACTGATTTGGACAGCTCACCCACCCCTAAAGGGGCCAGTCTAACCGCCTGGTTAGTTCTCTGCCTACTCCCAGGGTCCTTCCCTGCCCTATCAGATTGCTGCGGGAGCCTGCTGTGCCTGGCAGCCCAAATGTTGACATTTCTTTTCTCTTATGCACTGGTTTTGCACAGCTGTCATTTTTAATTCAGCAATTTCACAGACATTCGCATTTGGACAAATAATTCTAAAAACAAGCAAATAAACAAAAACAGGCACTTAGCTGAGCTCCTCTATACTACCTGGAAAAAGCATTTGCATTCTTTTCAATAAACATCAAGCACTACAAAAAAAAAAAAGGAAAGAAAAAAGAAAAAAAAATGATTGTCTTTTAATGATTAAGTGCTGTCATTGACTTCTGACTCTCATTCTAACCCCATTATTCCCACTGAAATCGGGGACCCCAGTATTTCCCCTCTGTAATCTCTAGACTACAGAGGACAGCAACCTTAGGGCTTTGTAGGAATTCTGGTGCTCCCCTCACCCTGGTATTTCTTAGATACTTGGTGAAGGGGGTCCTCTGCAGCATCCAAGGTGAGGGTGGCTGAGTAAGTAGTTCATTTTCCCAAACCTGGACACTTTTGAGAATGAAAGGGGTCACTATTAATGACTGCACTGAAACACCGGCATATACCTGGAAACAAAAAGTTCCTATTTCTCTGAGTTTTTGGATTCCTTAGCACTATTAGGGAAGTTCTGCTCCTTAGTCCTTGCTGTATGTGGGCTGTTGTTGAGTTCATGCTCCAATTAAGTGTGTCAATATAGCACATTGTTTTAATGCTATTTCTAGATGCTTAAGTTAACATTAAGTCTTGTATCCTGGGTTAGTGCACCCATAGTGAATATAGCCTCATCTTAGCATTTCTCCTTCTTCAGCAGTTAGATATCCTTAAAATTCTCACTCATTCCTGTGTCTGAGATTCCTGCCTATACAAGTTGGAAAGATGTTTAGTTACCTCTGTACCAGATCTTGTGCTGCTGCCTGGGCTATGTTGAGATCTCTGGATATGGAGGGTTCAGAGGCAATGGAAAGGTTGGGTGGGGTGGGTGGTGAGAAAAATCTGCATGCCTTTTAAGTCCACTAACCCAGGTTAATTCACTTAAATATTTAAAGCAGAGAAGCTTGGTTGAGGAATTTGTAGGAGCCACCTCTGACAGCCAAGAAGGCACAAGAGGGTTTGAGGAATTCAGAGTTCCCATTCTCATATCTACCTGCATGTCCTCATGTTTCCATGCCTGGAGCAAACCCACCCTTAGGACTTCTAGTTGATTTGATTTTCTTACTGTTGAAGGCCTTTTGAAGCAGAATATTCTTTTATTTGTAATGGTAAACCTCAGTGGATTAAATGAGACATCATATTAGTAACCTTATAGGTGTGGATTAAATGATATCTACCCATAAGGCATTTAGAGCTGCCCCTGCTACATTTTGAGCACTCAGTAAACATGAACTGTTATCCCTAGACTTGGGAAGCAAAGTCTCAGGTAGCAGTTTTCTGACTGTGAGCTTGGCTTTAGTTGGTAAATGTCAGGTGAATAGGCGCAGAGCAGGTTCAGGGAGAGTGGAAATATCATGATAAGATTCTGTTTACTCTTTGGGGACTGACATGAAGCCAGAAAGAAAACAATTTTACCTGGTGAACAGGCAAAGTCCAGTGTAGGAGTTATTTCTTGGGCTTAGGACAGACGTTTCTGGAGAATGACAACAGATATGCCTTCCCAAAAAAAGCTGAGGCCTGGCTGTGGATGAGATCTGGGCCTCCTTCCAAACCTGAAAAAAGATGATTATTGGTGATCTAGGATTCATGAAATACTTCCCTTGGTCTCCTTGGAAAATATACCAAGATCCTTGGATGTGGGACAGATTAAATTTGAGACAATGTGTATGAGGCCAGATAACCATACCTTTTTCTCACTAGATAGGACTCAAACTGGGAATGGCTGTGGAAAAGTGGTAAACGAGCTAAAAGTTAGGTAAAGGTACCAGTGAGACCAAAAAATCAGCTAATTCCAAATGTATCATTACCTAGGTATTCTGAGATGAGCTAGTGATACATTGATGAGTGAAATGTGGTCTTTACCCTCATAGACTACTGATTTCATGGTGCCTTGGGCCAGAATTCGGATGATAACTAGTGACACATCGAGGCCATGAAGAGATTAGGTCTGAAAGTGCCACCCTTTGGGGATGGAAGTTGAGGACATGAGATCTACTCCCTACCACTGAGCCAAGAGAACACATACTCTGAGGAAGGAAGGGGTCCCTGATTAGCAAGGATGCCATGCCAAGGCCAAGTAGCATTTAGGAGAGCTGGACTAAGGAGGTGGGTGACCAGAAATGCACATTTCCTGAGTAGTGTGCATGTTTGTGTGATGTTGCCATGACCTTGTTTGTCTACCCATTTACACATGCGTGTAAGTTAGGTCATGTACTTGGCACATCATGGTTGAATAGGTTATGCTGTGACCTGCAGGAAGGAAAGTCTGACACTGTGTACCTTGGGGGCAGATTCCACAATGAGAGCAGATACTGGCAAGGGCTCTACCCTTTGGGGAGGAATTTACAAAAATAGTCTAAGGCATTGAGCAAGAGAAGGAGGAAGTAGACATGCACATTTGCAGATAAAAGCAACACTTAGATGAAAACAATCCAAGTTAGTGGGAATGCTGAAATAACAACTATGAACTTCTCACTCCTAAATCCTCATCTTGGGGATGCTAATATTGAAATGGTCACTAAACTTGAAGTGTTCACTGAAATTATACTATTGTTGAAATTAAAGCAATCATATTAAAGGCCATAATCATTTAATCATATTAAATCTATCACTATATCTTTGGAGTTTATTCAAATAGCTAACTAAGTACTATCATCCATTAATTCTGTATTGCTGTGTTTTGGAGAATGATAGAATAGAATAGAATATGTACATTGTATATATTTGATTATTTCCTGCTATTGAAACATAGTGAAAACCTCAGCAATCTGGAAGAAGACTGGCTAGAAGGAGAAATCTTGTTGAAATTAGTGGTCTATTTATATTTAAAAAAAAACTTTCAAAGATTTTTCTACATTCTTAAAGCAATTAAAACAAACCTAAATAAATGAGTGTCAATTTAAGATCCAGAGTATGTTTTCTTCAGTGGTACATTTGAGTTATTGTATGAAGAACACTTAGTATTTGCTTTGAAATATGGATTTTGCTATAATGGTGTTAAAAATGGCTGGTAGCAGTTTGCATTACTAAGTAGATCAATTATATTATTCTGTGCACTTAGTTCTAAGGGTAGACTGTCTGGTGTCCTGTGACAATGTTGGTAACCTCCTACCTCCCTTAATGAAAATCTGATCATTCACCTTGCATTTTTTTCCTTCCTGCCTGAATGTCCCTGGAAGATTTGTTCCTTTGTCTTCAAATGTTCTGTTGTCTAGAGACTTCTTTTTTCTTACTTTAAGATGGATAATAGTGCGCCTGAAGGAATTATGATCACCATAGAAAGATGTGTTCATGGAGAAGTGCTCTGCTCAGCTAGCTGGGGCCTGGTGAGTTAGCAGTGGGGTGCTTTGAAGGTTGTTTCAGAATAGCCAGAAACAGCAACATTTGTCTGCCCCCCTCCGTCTCCTCAGAGGTTGGTATCTGAGTTATGATAACTAATACATTTAATTTTCTTATGATTGTATCCACAGCATGTGCGTAGTGCCCATCCCATCCCCAAATGACTGATGATTTCATCAGCAAAATTGCAATAATATAATTCGTATATTGCAGGCAAAGCCCCTCGACAGTCAGTTTAATTGAATTGACCAGTCAGTTCAGAGTCATCCAGTTAGCTCAGGATACAAAGCTGTCACACAGACTGTTTTATAGGGCTCATTTTGAAAAGTTAAGAGTTACATAATATCAGTAAAAGAAAGGGCATTGTATTTTAATAGTAACTGAAATAAGTGATGTTTTGGATTTTTCTGTTATCTACATTCATAATTGCACTGCCATATAGAACTGTAAGAAAGTGTCCATCTGAATGTATACAATAAAAACTTCAAACACATATAGAAATGGAGAAAATAGTGAAAGGAGGCCCCCATAGATTTATTTTCTGCATTCAAAAACTATCAACATTCTTGCTTCATTTAGCCCTTTTCTTTTATGGTATTTTTATGGAATATTTTAAACAAATCACAGCTATCTCATTAGTACCCTCCTTCAATAATTCATTATGTTTTTCTAACAGATAAGACCTTAAAATCATAATCTATGGGGCTGGGGCTGTAGCTCAGTGGTAAAGCACTTGCCTTGCATATGTAAGGCACTGGGTTTGATCCTTAGCACCACATAAAAATAAATAAAAATACTGTGTGTTTATCTACAACTAAATAAATATACTTTTTAAATCATAATCTACAGTATCATCACAACTACCAAAATTAATGATTGCCTTAATATTTAATAATGGTATAATCAATTATTTCCAGTGTTTAAAAAATATCTTTCTAATTGTTTGTTGGAAATAGATCCTTAAAATGTGAGCACATTGCATTTGGTTCATATATATATTTTTTTAAATATTTTTTTTTAGTTGTAGTTGGACACAATACCTTTATTTTATTTATTTATTTTTATGTGGTGCTGAGGATCGAACCCAGGGCCTCGCACATGCTAGGCAAGTGCTCTATCGCTGAGCCATAACCCTAACCCTGGTTTATATTTTTTAACCTTCTTTTAATTGACAACAGCTCTTCCCACCCTTTTATTGCCCTCCAATTTATTCATTGAGGAAATCAGGAATTCTTATGGAATTTCCTGTATTCTGAATTTACTTTATACTCTTCATACCCTTTCCCAATTTGTTGTAGGCTTGTTAATTTTTCTCATATCATTTTCGAAGCTCTTTTAGCATTGAATTTTATTTTGTAGAAGCCTGAGACTACCTGGGCATTTTCTACTCTTTAAGCTATTTGATACTTTTACTTAAGACCAGAGTATTTTTCTTTATTTTTAAATAGGATGTATCTCAATGGTATTTGTTGTCATTTTTTTTCCTGAAACCTGATGTGTTAAACCTGTAGATTCAAGACTTTCATTTATCCAAAACTTCCAACTATTTCCTGAAAAAAAATATTTATTATACACATACAATATATATAATATGTTTTTATGTTCACTCTGATTTCCCCTCCATATTTAAAAATTTTTCAGACTTTTCACATCTTCATTTCCATTTCCATCTGCTTACTTTTCTCAATCTTGATCTCTATGTTCTTCAAAATGTTTTCTGTATTATTTGTCAGTC